CTGTCACTCCTCACCTCGATCACTGGCTTCTGTCCCCCCACTTCTATCACTGGCCCTCAAGGTTATTTTTCTTACAGCATCCAGGGTGATCTTTTTAAAATGTTAAGTCAGATCATATCAGTTCTCTCCTAAAAAAATTCTGAGATGCCTTCCCATTTCACCCGGAGCAAAAGCTGGAGTCTTTACAATGGTCCTTAAGGAGGCCCCCAGCCCTCACATCTCCTGCCCTGCCCTCCTGCCCTTGTTCTTGTCAACACTCTGACATCATCTCCCGTGCTCTTCATTGGCTTCCTGGCCATTCCTGCTGCTTTAGAACATTGTACTGGAAGTTTCTGCCACCTACATGCTCTTCTCTCAGAGGTCTACTTGGCTAAATCCCTGCTGCCCTCCATATCCGCTATGTGGCTTTCTCTATAAGACCCACCACATGAGTACTGCAGTTCCTTCCCTAACCCTGCAGTCCTGCGCTCCCAGCTTCATAGCTCTGCTCTGCTTTTCTCTTTCTTAGCATTGATCACTTTCTAGAATGCTACTTAATTTCCTTATTATATCTATTTCTTATTGTTTTTCACACACACATATGCATACACACACACACACACACACACACAAATATGAGATTAACAGGAATAGGAATCTTTTCTTTTTTCTTTTTTTTTTTTTTTTGAGACGGAGTTTTGCTCTTGTTGTCCAGGCTGGAGTGCAATGATGTGATCTCGGCTCACTGAAACCTCTGCTTCCCAGGCTCAAGCGATTCTGCTGTCTCAGCTTCCTGAATAGCTGAAATTACAGGCACCAGCCCCGACGCCTGGCTAATTTTTGTATTTTTAGTAGAGACGGGGTTTTGCTGTGTTGGCCAGGCTGGTCTCGAACTCTTGACCTCAGGTGATCCGCCTGCCTGATCACCTCAGGTGATCCCAAAGTGGCTGGGATTACAGGCATGAGCCACCACACCTGGCCAGGACTTTTCTACTTTGCATATCAGTCTTTTCCCAAGCACCCATGACAGTGCCTGGAATATAGTTGGTGGTCAATATTTTTAAAAAGAATAAACCAATAAAAAAGAAATATGCATAACTGCCACAATTGTTTCCAAAGAAATAGACCATTCGATCTGGCAATCTCACTACTGGGCATCTACTCAAAGGAAAAGAAGTCACTATATGAAACAGACAGATGCACATGCGTGTTTATAGCAGCACAACTGACAGTCGTGAAGATATGAAACCAATCTAAGTGCCCATCAATCGACGAAGGGATAAAGAAAACATGGTGGATATACACGATAGAATACTACTCAGCCATAAAAAAGAATGAAAAAATGTCTTTTGTAGCAACTTGGATGGAGGGGGAGGCCATTATTCTAAGTGAAGTAACTTAGGGATGGAAAACCAAATATCGTTATGTTCTTACTTATAAGTGGGAGCTAAGCTATGAGGACGCAGAGGCATAAGAATGATATAATGGACTTCAGGGACTTGTGAGAGGAAGATTGGGGGTGGTGTTGGATAATAGTCTACATATTGGGTACAATGTTCACTGCTCAGGTGACAGGTGCAGTAAAATCTCTGAAACCACCACTAAAAACCTTATCCATGTAACCAAAACCACCTGTACGCCCAAAACAATTGAAATTCAATAAAGAAATAGAACAGAAAAAGTATTCAATTGAAGCAAGAAGACAAGAAATGAGAGAAAAATAAATAACAACAAAAAAACAAGATGAACAAATAAAAAGCACAAATAATGGCCAGGCACGGTGGCTCACGCCTGTAGTCCCAGCACCTTGGGAGGCTGAGGCAGGCAGATCTCGAGGTCAGGAGATCGAGACCATCCTGGCCAACATGGTGAAACCCCATGTCTACTAAAAATACAAAATATAGCTGGGCGTGGTGGCAGGCACCTGGAGGGAGGTGGAGGCAGGAGAATCACTTGAACCCAGAAGGTGGAAGTTGCTGTGAGCAGAGATCGTGTCACTGGACTCCAGCCTGGCAAGAGAGGGACACTCTGTCTCAGAAAACAAAAAGCACAAATAATATGGTAGAAATGAATCCAAATTAAACACCAATTATAATTCACATTAATATGCTAAAAGTTTCAGCAAAGCGACAATGATTTTAGAGAGAAATTACTAAAAGAAAATAATTATAAGCTGTTTATTTTTATTTTATTTATTTATTTTTGAGACAGAGTCTAGCTCTGTTGCTCAGGCTGAATTGCGATGGCATGATCTTGGCTCACTGCAACCTCTGCCTCCCAGGTTCAAGCAATTCTCCTGCCTCAGCCTCCAGAGTAGCTGGGACTACATTCATGAACCACCATGCCAAGCTAGTTCTTGTCTTTCTTTTCAGTAGAGACAAAGTTTCACCATGTTGGCCAAGGTGGTCTCAAACTCCTGATGTCAGGTGATCCTTCCACCTTGGTCTCCCAAAGTGCTGGAATTACAAGCGTGATCCACCACGCCTGGCTGCAGTAACTCTTTTTTAAAAGCATCTAAAATATACAGGATCCAGAAAGGTTGGAAGTAAAAAGAATAGAAAAAGATAAACCATCCGAACACTAACCAGAAGAAACCTATTAATAGTAAGCAAAATAGATCTTATGGCAACAAAACCCCCAAAACTGGTAAGACAGGGTGCTTTATTTTTGTTTTGAGATAGAGTTTCACTCTTATTGCCTAGGCTGGAGTGCAATGGCACGATCTCGGCTCACTGCAACCTTTGCCTCCCGGGTTTAAGCAGTTCTCCTTCCTCAGCCTCCCCAGTAGCTGGGATTACAGGCATGTGGCACCATGTCCAGCTAATTTTGTATTTTTAGTAGAGCCAGGCTTTCTCCATGTTGGTCAGGCTGGTCTCAAACTCCCGACCTCAGATGATCCACACACCTCGGCCTCCCAAAGTGCTGGGATTACAGGCGTGAGCCACTGAGCCCGGTGCTTTTTTATATTTTCTTTTTAAAATTTTTATTTTATTGTAAATTGACATTATAATTGTATATATTTGTGGTACACGAAGTGATGTTATGATTTACGAATACAATATAGTTATCACAAATCAAACTAATTAGCATATCCATTCCCTTAGATGCTTTCCTTTTTTGTAGTTAGAGCATTTAAAATGTACCACCTGAGCAACTTTGAAATGTACAGTACACTTATTAACTATATTCACCGTGCTGTGTAATAGATCTCCAAGGAAAACCTTATTCCTCCCATCTGAGACTTAGTACCCTTTGACCAACATCTCCTCAAGTCCCCCAACCCAGCCTCTAGGAATCACCATCCTATTCCATTCTGCTTCTAGGAATCCGAGTGATTTAGATTCCACCTGTAAGGGAAGATATGCAGCCTTTGTCTTTCTGTCCCTGCCTTTTTTGGAGGTTTCTCAAAAAAAAACTAAAAATAGACTAAATATAAGCCAGAGATTCCACTTTGGGGTATTTATCCAAAATAGCTGATCTAGGTATGTAGAAAAGATGTCTGCACTGCTGTGCTCATTGCAGCATCATTCACAATAGCCAACTTACAGAATCAACCTAAATGTCCATTAACGAATAAATGGATAAAGTGACATGGCACATAGTGGTATACATGCAAAATAGAATACTATAGAGCTTTAAAATAGAAGGAAATTCTGTTTGTAACGACATGGATGAAGTTGGAGGGGGTTTCTTATTAAGTTCCAGTTAACTAAGAAGATATAACAATTTAAAACTTTTATGCATCTTTTGCAACTTCTACATTATAGCTGTGAATGTATTTTTTAAAGTTGACATAACTAAGAATATATACATCTCTCAGGAGATGATAGTATGAAAAAATTTATAATGATAGAGAAGACCTGAATATGACAGTTAACAATTTGGCCAAATATATACACATGTAACACCAGACCCAACAGTGGTGGAAGTCAAATTATTTTCAGGCACACAAGGACATTTACAGAAATTGACCACACACTAGGCCATAAAGCAAGTCCCTATATTTTCAAAAGACTGAAACCACACAAAACATTTTCTCTGAGTATAATATCATTATATTGGCTGGGTGCGGTGGCTCACGCCTGTAATCCCAGCACTGTGGGAGGCCGAGGTGGGTGGATCACAAGGTCAGGAGTTCAAGACCAGACTGGCCAACATGGTGAAACCCCGTCTCTACTAAAAAATACAAAAATTAGCTGGGCATGGTGGCTCATGCCTGTAATCCCAGCTACTTGGGAGGCTAGGGCAGGAGCATTGCTTGAACCGGGACCTGAGAGGTGGAGGTTGCAGTGAGCCGAGATCACGCCACTGCACTCCAGCCTGGGTTACAGAG